TTATCATGGCAGAGTCAAGCCTGTAAACCATCATGAGTTCCACTAAAAACATGTTGAATATATGTGCACTCAGCCCTTTACCACACAAATCCACCCAACATTGTGCTTCACAGAAGAAATACAAGATATACAAGTGGAAGGCAAACTCACTGCAGAGTTAAAACTGCATCTTTCTGTACAAGAACTGTGTGCTGGGAGCTTCATGAAATTTGTTTCCACGGCCAAGGAGATGCATACAAGTCTAAGATCACTATGTTCAATGCCAGGCGTCAGCTGGAGTGGTGTAAATCACGCCACCGCTGGACTGTGGAACAGTGAAAACATTCTCTGGAGATATGAATAATGCTTTACTATCAGGCAATCTGATGGATGAGTCTGGGTTTGGTGGGTGCCAGGAAAATGCTACCTACTGGAATGCATAGTACCAAGAGCAAAGTTTGGTAGAAAAGGGATAATGGTCTGGGGCTGCTTTTCAGGGTTTAGGCCCCTGAGTTCCAGTGAACAGCAATGTTTATGATCCAACAGACAAAGACATTTTAGACAATTATATGCATCCAACTTTGCAGCAACGGTTGGAGGAAGGCCCTTTCTTGGTCCAGCATGAGTGAGCCCCAGTGCCTATAAGACATGGTCTGATCAGTTTGGGGTGAAGAAACTTCAGTGGCCTGCACAGAGCACTGACCTCATACCAAAACTCCACAATTATGGAGATCCAGGGTTTTGGAATGTGTCCAACAAGGTCATACAGGTGTGATGGTCAGGTGTCCACATACTTTTGCCATTATAAACAAGAAATCTCAATGAGATTCCTTTAATTGAGTTTTATGTTGCGCTGAACTATGTGGAAAACTGGTTTGGCATGTATTGTACTGTGTGTGACGCAGTGGCACACGGCACACATACCTCACAAATAAGATACCTAGATAAAACCTGCGCTGTACGGCACATCACATCTGCTTTGTAACTCGAACTGAAATGACCACTACTTCCTCTTTAGGATTGTGTTATGTAGGGGAGAACTATTCAGTTTACTAAATGTTGGTTGCACGTGACACACCCTGCTGGGACACAGGAAGTGTAGCACCCCCATATTTCAGGATTGCAACTGCTAAAAATTATAATAAAATTATCTTAATTTCGTACTAATTTGAGCATAGTAGCTGTGATTGGTATAGTGTAGTGGGTAACACCTTTGTCTTCTGTGCTGTAGACTGGGGTTCAATCCCCCATCCAGGCAAGCACCCTACACTATACCAATAAGTCCATAGGCAAGACTCCTAACACTGCCTTTGCTTACCTCTGTAAAAAATGATCAAATTGTAAGTCACTCTAGATAAGAGTGTCTGCCAAATGCTGTAAATGCACTGTTTAACCCTCCTGTTACATTCAACTGTTAGGAACAGCAATAATGTTCCAGGGTCAATTTGACCCCAATGCATGTTTAACCATCCAAAAGTAGTTACAGATATATTTTTCTTCATAAACATTTCATTCATATTAATGAAATTTTTCACCCCTAACAGATCATGGTTTTCTTATAATAATTCACTCGTTTTTCTTTGCAAATTATTATTATTATTTTTTCTGTAAATTGACAAAAATTAGACATTCAACAAATTTGTTTTATTTGTTCGTCTTTTGTGTTTGACTGTTTATGCATTTTGACATGGGAGCATGTGGATTAATACGAACAAAACATCTCTTCTGTTCTGGGTGAAATTGACCCTTTCAATTCAAATCACACAAAATGAGCCATAAGCGTTATTTTAAAACTATATATATATATATATTTTTTAAACAATTTTTAAGAAACCTAAGCAAGAAAGAAAGAAAATTTGGTGTATGTATGTGTGGACCAGGTTTATGCCACATTATGGGGACCATAACCTGTTTATGTACTCATATTGTGGGGACCTTGCTTCCTTGTGGAAATAAATAAATTTTAAGGTGAGGGTAAGGATAAGGTTAGGGTTAGGGTAGTTCTGGGTAAGGTTTGCGTAAGTCTCCAGGAAATGAATGGAAGTCTATGTAATTGCCCCACAGTTCACCAGAATGGTGTGTGTGTGACCACACCATCAAAAGAAACAAATCAGTTTTGGCCTAAATTTGATATTTTTACCCTTTGTATCCTCCATTCTCACTGCTGGGTCAAACTGACCCAAACATTATGTGTGTAATATAAACATGTAGGGGGTTGCAAACATGTTAAATAAGTCATTTTACATTAACATGTTCATTACACTAATTAAGCCCAGCAGAAAGGGCTTCATGATGCAAAAATTATTTAAAATATTTTTTTACACTACTGTTCTCACCTTATGCTCTTAAGTGTGTTTAGATTCTGTTCCTACAAATCCCAAATAAGTAACATGTTAGAATCTTTGTGAAAACTGTGTACGTGGATTTTAAGAAGAAATTTCTTCTTAAGAATGGTTGGTGAATGAGGCCCATTGTTTTTTAAATCATGCAACATAATCAAGTTTTTCATCAACTGTCACATCTCCTGCTCAGTGTGCATTTGTGTTAAATCCCACCAGGTGACTGTGGCCATGACACAATGGGTTACGCACCACATATTAATAATCTGCTTGGTCACTGCTCAGTTCATTTTCATAAAGTCTGTCCCGAAGGAGAGAGCAGGACGATGTGCCTCAGTGGTTTGATGTGTCAGTTTTATGTTTTACATATATACATATAAACATCTGCCATTAGCTGATGGCCTTATGGTATAAACTGTATCTGGGGTCTCTGTTGCTCTTTGTGGTCCTTCAGTATGTTCAGTCTGTCATTAGTGATTTTTGAAAGATTATGTATTAACAAGTTTACTGTGTATAATTAATAGACTAGTTTTCCAATCTCTCTGCAATCAAAACCGGTTTTGCAAATCATTTCCCAAATCAGTTTCCTTCTATATACTTTCACAGCTAATTTTTTTGTGAAAAGACTCACCATATCTTAGCAACAGTGCACATTACACAAAAAAGTATATTGACAGAACATTCACAGTTTAGTGGTCTGGCTGCCCTTGTTTTGTGTGTGTGAGATGAACATGAGCAGGATTTTATTTAATTCATTTTATTTGTAAAGCGCTGCTTAAAACAGATACTGATCTAAAGCACCTTTATGGAAGCCTAAATGTGACCTCCAGTGGTACTACAGGTAGCCATGACTGGAAAAAATGCTAGAGATGGTATGAGGAAGAAACTCAATTAAGCATTTTCTTATGACAAAGGCTATCTACTTAATAGAATAAACTACTGGAAGGAGCAGAATGCTAATTAAAAAAACATTCACTTGAAATAGAATTGAATTTACTCTTCCCAGCAATAACATCAACTGCAAATTGTGACACCAATCACACAAAGACATAAGATTTCATTTCAGCAGTTAAAGGATATGCACTAATGTGCTAAAAGTCAGAAACCACTTTCATTTATTTAATTTCCAATCAAAATGGCCATTAAATGGAAAAGTTATTCATTTTTCCAGAGATAGTTTTGAGGAGATTAGATACAAGATAATCCACTTGCATAAGGAAGAGGAAAGTCAAAGCTAAATAAAGGGAAAGTTTCCAAAACTGGATACAGAGAATTTGGAAAGCATACAAGACCAAGTACACCAGCACTTAAAGCTTTCATCTTTGTGAGAGAGGAGAAAATCAAGCTGCTTCAGATCTGAAAACATCCACAGGTGTTTCTGTCCATCCTTCCTCTGAGAAGACAACTCAGTGCTATGCCTCTGAAAGGATGTGTAGCTGTCGGAAACAGACAAAAAAGAGAAACATGCAAATCAAACAAAGAAGCTGCTAGTGTCCTCAGAAGAGTGGAGTGGCCACCCCAGAGTCCAGAACACAACATCACTGAATGTGTTTGGGATTTAATGGATCATGAGAAGCAGAAAATACAACCAACTTCTAAGACTGAACTTTGATATTGTAGAAAAACATCCTTGCAGATATTTTTCTTTGAAAAAATCATAAAGCAAGTCTGCCAAAAAGAATGGAAGCCATAATAAAGGCAAAGGATGGACACACTGAATACTGAAAAATTTGGTACTGCATTCGGTTGTTAAGGCTAATTTTCTGTAAATATGTTTTCTGCTTTTTGTTCCTGATAATGAGGAATGGCTATTTTAACGGGAAATTAAATAAATGAAGGGTGGTCTCTGAACTTTTTCTGAATTTTTATGAAATAAAGTAAATGCAATGATCAGAATGTCCCGAAATATTATCAAATTAGCTGTAGAGATCTTTGTCAGACATCTTTGTTATTATACATCCATCTGCCTGACATAGTTTTTTTTAAGGTTTTTAATTTTAGTAGCTATGTAGCTATGAAAATTGATGATTGTTTTCTAATGGCACTGCTTAGAGTTATCATGTACTAAGAGAAAAGCAAAAGCCCTAAAACTGAAACTTGTGGGACTCCACAAGAAATGTTACATTTCTTGTAAAGACAGATCCTAACAAAACCAAAAAAAGAGCTTATATGTTCCCTGTTTTGAAAGAACTCCACAGGCCTGCCTGTAACTTTTAGGATTTTAAAGTTCTGCTACTAGTTTTTAAGACTCTAAATGACCTAGCACCCACTTAAATCACAGAATGTCTGTCTATGTTACAGCATGTGATCTTAGAAATGTTATATTTCTTGTGGAGTCATTCTCATTACTGTACATACTCATTACTGATCTTGCTGTATGTCTTTATCAAAATACTAAAACAGAAAGACAATAAAACTGGTTCTATAACACTCATTTCCAGTAATGGCAGCAAAGTGGAACAGTGCTAAAGGACATTTTACACTTACATCAGTTTTGTGTATTTATTTATATTATGGGCAGACAAACATGTTTCACATTGATACAGATGTTCTTCCACTGAGACAGAGAGAGAGAGGGAGAGAGAGAGAGAGAGAGAGAGAGAGAGAGAGAGAGAGTTGGTGAGTGTGGGTGTGTCCCAGATGCTCACAAGGTATATATAAGACTGAAATGTTGTAAGACAGTTTCAATGTGAGTGACGATGGTGATGTCAAGGACACTAAGTGTGGTGCTCGTCATCAGCTTCTTAGCAAAAGGTAAGTTCATCAACTGCAGTACATTTTCGACTGTAATTATATCCTCTTTTGATCTTTGTGAATAAAACAGATTCTTGCACTGTAAAAACCTGGCATTTCAGTCTAAAAAAAGCAAATAGGCCTGTTTCCTTAGAATGCTGAGTTCACTGAACCTCTAGTAGTACGTTAAAGGGAAACTCCACCTATTTTTAAAAATTTCTGCAACATTAAATTATTAAGATGATGATCAATGAGTATATATAATATATATATATATATATACACACACACACACACACACACACACACATTTAAGAAATCATGATCACTTATTTTGTTCAGGGAGACAAAAGATATGGGGACAGAACTGCAAAAAGTGCTATACCTTCCCGACCAGTACAAAACAAAAAGCATTACCCAGATATAAAAGATTCTGTTATTCTTAATTCTGGATCCCATTTTTTCATTAATCTCTTTGAATCTACAGCAAAAAATCCACTGTGCCATGAAAATGTTACTGAATGAGTAACTAACACTAACTTTGTTCTTTCTGTTTCAGTGTGCCACTCACAGTTGGGTGGTAAGTTATTTCTTATTATTATGAAATGATATGGATACATAAATGAATAAAAGTGCAGCAATTAATATGTCATACTCTGTGCTACATGCAATAAAATAAGAATCGCAAGAACATATGTTGAGAGAGAAATGTTGTGTTACTACTGGTCCTCTAAAGCCACAGTTATACTGATGTGGTTCAACAAAAGCACATCTGTGGAAGGTGTCCCTGCGTGCTGTAGTTACTGATATAACTGATATCACTGCCGCCAGTGGTATGTTTTGCTTACTAAAGATTCAGTGATAAGCTCGTTCACTGTAACTGGCTGGAAATAACTTTCTTTATCAAGGCAGGCATTAATGAATCTTGCCATTTAAAAGCTGTATTTGAACAAGACGGCTACAGTAGAGACTCAGTCACAGAAAAATGTAGCGTGACAGTAGCTGGACTCTGTAAAGTTATATAATAATATATAATATAATTTATTTATCATTATATATACAAGCCAGTTTCCAAAAAAGTCAGGATGCTGTGCAAAATGTAAACAATAACAGAATGCAATGATGTGCAAATTATTTACTACCAATATTTAATTAGAAATCATTCAAATAAAACATATCAAATGTTGAAAGTGAGAAATTTTTTGTGTGTGTTTTGAAAAATATATGCCCATTTTGCATTTGATGCCAGCAGCACGTTTAAAACGTTGGGACAGGGCCAACAAAAGACTGGTAAAATTGTGTAAGGCTATAAAAACACCTGGTGGAAGATCTCACAACTGATTAGGTTAATTGGCAACAGGTCAGTAACATGATTGGCAAAAAGAGCATCTCAGAGAGGCTGAGTCTTTCAGAAGTAAACGGGTTCACCACTCTGTGAAAGACTGAAATTCAAGAACTTTTATCATCTACAGTACATAATATCATTAAAAGATTCAGAGAATCCAGAGAAATCTCTGTATGCAAGGGACAAGGCCGAAAACCAATACTGGATGGCCAAGATCTTTGGGCTCTCAGACAGCACTGAGTTAAAAACAGACATGATTCTGTTGTGGAAATCACTGCATGGGCTCAGGAACACTTCCAAAAAACCACTGTCTGTGAACACAGTTCATCACTGCATTCACAAATCCAAGCTGAAACTCTACTATACAAAGAAAAAACAGAGTAAACAGGATCCAGAAAAGCTGCAACCTCCTCTGGGCCTGAGCTCATGTAAGACAGACTAAGCCGAAGTGGAAAAGTGTCCTGTGGTCCAGCGAATCAAAATTTTACATTTTTATTGGAAATCAGGAATGTTGCATCCTCCATGCTAGAGAGGAGAGGGTCAATCCAGCTTGCTATTAGCGCACAGTTTAGAAGCCAGCATCTGTGATGGTATAGGGGTGCATTAGTGCACATGGCATGGGTGACTTGCATAATTGTGAAAGCTCCATTCATGCTGAACGATATATACATGTTTTGGAGCAACATATGCTGCCATCCAGATGACGTCTTTTTCACGGAAGGCCTTGCTTATTTCAGCAAGACAATGCCAAACCACATTCTCTACATATTACAACAACATGGCTCTGTAGTAAAAGAGTCCAGGTGCTAAACTGACCTGTCTGCAGACTAGACCTGTCACCCACTGAAAACATCTGGCGCATTATGAAACAAAAATATGACAACATGACCTGAACAGTTGATCAGCTGAAATCTTATATCAAGTATGAATGGAAAAACATGTTACTTTCAAAACTACAGCAATTGGTGTCCTCAGTTCCCAAATGCATGCAGAGTGTTGTTAGACAGATAGATAGATAGATAGATAGATAGATACTGACCAAGTTATTATTATTTTAGGTGGTTCACAGAGCATACTGGAATCAAAATAAAATAATGAACAAGCTCAAAGTGCACACTTTCAGCTTTAATCTGAGCATATTTACATTCAAATTGGGTGAACAGTATATGAATTATTACAAATTTCATAGCCCCCTCATTTGAAGTGACTCAAAGCAATTGGACAAACTGAAAATCATAAATTGTCATTTTTAATATTCAGTGGCAAATCCTTTGCAATCAATGACTGGCTGAAGTCTAGGACCCGTAGACATCACCAGTCATGGATTTCCTCCCTGATGATGCCCTGCCAGGTCTTTACAGCAGGGCTTCAGTTCCTGCTTGTTCTTGGGCCATTTTACCTTCAGTAAGTGAAATGCGTTCTCGATTGGATTAAACTCAGGTAATTGACTTGACCATTCAAGTCATTATCCATCTGCACTGCGAAGTGCCGTTGAAGAATTTGCCTGAATCTAAGCAGCCGTGTACACCTCAGAATTCATCCTGCTGTGTTTTTCAGAAGACACATCATTAATAGTTCCATTGACAGCAATACATACCTACACAATAACATGTTTCTGATTTCACCAATATGATCTTTAAGAATGTACCAAATAGTTGGTTTGGCCACACCTAATGCTTTTTCTATCTCCCTATTCGGTTTATTTGATTTTTTTAGCCTAATGATGGCATGCTTCAATGGCAGTAAAGCTCTTTGGACTTCATATATTTAACAGCAACAGATTTCAAATGCAAATGACACACTTGAAATCAGCTCGAGAACTTTTATCTGCTTACAGTGGTGGATAAAGTACACAAACCATGTACTTGAGTTAAAGTAGAGATGCCCAAGGTAAAATATTACTCCAGTAAAAGTAGAAGTCCTCCCTTTAGACCCCCACTTGAGTGAAATTACAAAAGAATTTTCCTTTAAATGTACTTAACTATCAGAGGTCTTTATTATTGGGTCTAATGTCCTATTATCATTTTTGTAACAAGACTCTTGCTTTATCAACTCATTTTAGGTGAAAATGCTCTGTCACTCTTGTAACACCAATATTTTAATAGAATGTCATTAATTAGTCTGACACTGATGTCTATTAAAATGATCATAAACACAAAACACTGAAGGCAAACAATTTCCACTGGGTAGAACCCAATGGCTCTGAAATAACTTTTTGCAAAGAAGCAACGTTTCAGTTTAAGATTTATTTGCAACTTAGTTTAAGTAAAAATTAGTTTAAATTTTAACATGTTTAAATTTAATAAAAGCAGTCTCTGTTTCTAAAGATAAACTAGCAAAAACAAATTTACTATAAAATGAAAGTGTTTGTATGAATTCAGAAAAAAGAAACATGCCAGTCACAACTGCATATGTGTACATATTTCTATGTTGTGGTCTATTTACACAAAGTTTGGTTAGAGTCAGGAGTTTCTTCCATCATTTATGTAGGAACAACAGGTCCAACAGGTCAAAACAAGCTCAAAACAAAGTGCGCGCTGTATGTTTTGACATGTTGCGTTTTTATGCACATATTACACAAAAGGAACAACAGATTTCTCCAAATGTAGTGGAGTGAAATGTAAGATATTAGACTTTGAAATGTAGTGGAGTGAAATGTAAGATATTAGACTTTGCAATGTAGTGGAGTGAAATGTAAGATATTAGACTTTGAAATGTAGTGGAGTGAAAGTAAAAAGTCACCCAAAATGAAAATACTTTAGTAAAGTACAGATACATGAAAAAACTACACATTTACATTTACAATTGAATTTACTTCATTACTGTCCACCACTGTCTGCTTACTTGTAAGTGAAATGAGAAAATAACACACATGTTGCCATGAAACAGCTGAGCTGCCAATGGTCCCTAAAAATAGGGGGCTATGTATGAAAATGATTGTCATTCTTACACCCTTCACCTGATTTGGACATAAATGTCCCCAAAATAAAGCTGGAAGTCTGAACTTTGAGCTCATAATCATTATTTAATTTCAACTCCAATATGCTGTGGTTAGACGGCTAAGTAAATAACTTTGCTGACATCCAAGTGTATATATAGGGATGGAAATCAGTTGATTTTCGGTCAGGAATTGGCTAATTTATAATCTTGATTTTATTATTTTTTTTTATTTTGATATAAAAAATGTGAGTCAGGTAAGTGCACTGATACTGTATTTGAATGCTGCTGCTACACCTGTCCAAAAATGTCAGCATAGCATAATTTTGTATGAATCATTGTGTTCAATAGCCAGTTGCCTTTTACTTTCAACATAGCACTTTATTTGATTCAACTTATTTACACAGGCAACAAACAAAAACAAAACAAAAATTTTCATTTTTAAAACATACCTTTTAAAATAATGTTATTTGAATTACAATTTGTACTGTAAATGTTTCATGTTTTCATTTAGCCCAGACAGTATGAGCTTTAGGTTAAAAAAAGGTTCATAAAAATCAGCCAAATTATTCAGCCATTGCTGCAATTCTGCATTTCCACTGACATTAAGAAAGTCTCTCTCTCTCTATAAACATTGTGCAAAAAGCCTGAGCTTTTTGCCTTCCCAAAAAAAAAACCAGTACAGCCATGCAATGTTATGCAAATTATGTTAAGTTGAACTTCATTGTCATCTTTCACTATATACAGCTACAGTACAGAGTGGAGACTAAATGACACTCTCCAGACCTTTGATGCATAGACATTATACATTAAAGGCTAAATATATTAAATATATACTAACACATCAATATTTAGTGCAATTTAAGCAAGACAGTATAAGACAGCATTGTATAATTTACAAGACAAGACAGTGCAAGACAATCACAAACACATAAGTACAGAGAGGGAGTCTTCCACCTAATTAGAAATTTCTTCTCTCTTTGCCAGTGTGCGGTGTGGCTTCTCTAAATACCAAGATAGTGGGAGGACAGGATGCTTCTCCAGGTTCTTGGCCTTGGCAAGCTAGCCTGCAGACTGATGGTGCCCATTTCTGTGGTGGATCCCTCATCAACTCTAACTGGGTTTTATCAGCAGCTCACTGCATTGACAGGTGTCACACTCTTTAGGTTTTAAGCCATCTTCTGTCATGCTTTTTAAATGTGTCCTGGAGTTTAGATGAGCTGTAGGTTTGGCTGCAACATCAAATAAGCATCAGTGTTAAGAGAACATCTAGTTTTAAAAAAAATCACTTGCTGTTTAGGTTTCAAACTCTGGTGTTTATTTGATGTCCATTTTAACCAAGGTGCGAAATACAGGGTGTTTTGGACCCCCTGAATGTTTTAAAACCAAAATTCTGGGTAGGTCCCTGAAAATAAACTTATGATGTTATGCTGTCCGTAAAATACAAATTCAGGCAAAGGTCACTGTTTAGCCTGCTTCACCCATAAAATGGCAAGCTTCTGTTTTTCATATTGTTAATCAACTAGTGATGTAGCACTAGCTTGCCCCAAGGTGGTGCTGTAGCAAATTGCCAACACTGGATGCCAACCTATTACCCCCTGAATAAAAAGAGGGTATTTCACACACTGATTTTAACCTAATGTAAACTTAGACAAACATAATGACTGCGTGGATGGTAGGTGGACATGAACACAAATATTATATACTACATATTATTACTATATATATATATATATATATATATATATATATATATATATATATATATATATATATATATATATTACTATGTATTATATGCATACACTACATATACAAATGTTTGTATATTTTCATTTAACAACTATCATCCCATATGCAAAGGAAACATTTCCATATTTTCTAAAAATATGTGTATTTGTATATACTGTGGTGTTGGATATGCCACTTTTAAAGTAATTCAAAAAGTAGTATAAAGTATTTTGGCTGCGTTAATTTCTCTTTTATAAGCACTTTTAGACTGAAGAGTCTGAATACGAGCATTTTTCTTTAGAGACAGAGGGCTGTGTTTGTTTTTGGCTATTAGCTAAGAGTGACTGTGCTCATCTTTTTTTCTGTTTTGTGCTGTTCCCAAAAACCTGGTATTAAGGCTATGGAGTTATGGACCATGACCCTGTCTCCATCAAATTTCTTCTAAGAACCCCCTAGGCTACACACAGAGCCCTGACCGCACTTAACACCTTTGGGATGAATTGGAATGTCAATTGCGAGCCAGGCCTTCTTGTCCAACGTCAGTGCCTGACCTCTCAAATCTTTTTTTGACTGAAACGAGCACAGTTTCCGACAGATAGACTCAAAAAACTCGTGGAAAGCCTTCCCAAAATAGTGGAGGCCATTATAGCTGTTATAGCTTTAACACCTATAGTAGGGACTAACCCCATCATTTCACCCAAAAAAGTTTCACAACACAATGTCTGAAAAAATCGGTGTTATCCTACATCAAAACCAACGTGTATGACAGACTAGATTTTTATAAATGTTCATGTAGGTTTATGTCAGTTGCCATGATGAGCGGATGTTGCAGACAGTAAGTTCAAAGAGAAAAGTACCATTTGATTCAGCATCATCCACGTCCGCATCGCGATGCATCTAAGAATCGATTTTTTCCCCCACCTCTAGCTAAAAGGCTGTTGGTGTTGCTCTTCAGCTAAATAATATGCAATGAAACACATGAGAACTATGCAAAGTAGGAGCATGAGAGGCAGGTTTGCAATAGAGCTGCCACTGGAGCAAAGGTTGGACTGTGGCCCTCTTCTCCCCAGTACAACCAACAGTCTGAAATAGGGGAACAGCTCAAACACTAATAAAATTACAAAGTGCAGCTCACAGTACTATGATAAGAAATTAAAAAAAAAATAGATGATGGAAAAAAATGGCTTTCTGTTTTTTTTTCCAGTAATAGTTCTGCAACTGTGACCGTGCATCTGGGTGAGCAGTCACTGGGCATAAGTAACCCAAATGTAACATCCAGATCTGTTTCTCAAGTCATCGTACATCCCAGCTACAATTCAGACACTAAAGACAACGACATCGCTCTGCTGCAGCTGAGCTCTAGTGTGACCTTCACTAATTATATTACGCCTGTCTGCCTGGCTGCAGCCGGAAGCACATTCTTCAATGGCACTCTGACCTGGGTCACTGGCTGGGGAGACATTGCCAGTAATGGTGAGAAATGATGAAGTGTTTATTAGGAAGCTAAGGTCCAGATCGCTGCTGTTAAAAAAGAAACCATGCATCTTCAAAATGGTAACTTTACAGCAGAACGCAAAAAAATGCTTTGAGATGTTCACACAATACAAAGGACTGCTGAAATGTACAGATGATGTAGAGAAATAAAAATGATAAAACAATAAAATAAACAGTTAAAAAATGATCATGTATACCACGCCAAAGCTAAGCAAGGTAAGGCTGTTGATCAGTAGACCTACATGCTCTTTGTTGAAATCCTAAGCAAATGTGGATCCTTATTATTATTATTATTATTATTATTTATCAATGAAAATTCTTCATTTAAAATTGGTTTTGAATAGTTTAATTCCTGCAACCTCAAAAGTGATAAGGTCCAGTCATTTGTCTTTTATGAGCAAGACTGCATTACTGCAATACATTAATTTAACACCAACATCCAAAGACTCAAAACAGTCTAAACAAAATTATTATAAAAATAATAATTTAATCTTTTTTACATGAACTTACATCAAATATAAGAAATAATAATAAAATAAGAATGTTTTTGCCCTCTCTGGTAAAGTTACTGTTTTTGAGATGCTTGTTTGCCCTTCCATATTCTCTGGAAAGCTATTCCAGAATTTAGGAGCTTTATAAGAACGATTTTCTCTGAACTGAGCTGTAAATGATTCTAGGCATTTGCAGTAAGCCTGCCTCAGCTGAGCAAAGAGGCTTTCAGCACTTGTACTTTTATTTTTATAATAATTTTGTTTAGACTGTTTTGAGTCCTTGGATGTTGGTGTTAAATTAATGTATTGCAGTAATGCAGTCTTGCTCATAAAAGACAAATTACTGGACCTTATCACTTTTGAGGTTGCAGGAATTAAACTATTCAAAACCAATTTTATTTGAAGAATTTTCATTGATGAAAGCTGAAGGTTCGTTTTACACTTTATTTGACCCTGCAATGAAAAGTAGGCCATGATTATTGGAGTTATGCCACAAATCTAATTAGTTACTATAACTCTATCCTCCAAGTTAGCAAAGTTTACCGTATTAGTAATTACAGTACATTTGCACACTTCTTCACATTTCACAATATTTTACTGAGTTAAAATGATGTTCAATGTGTGTTTCCTCAGTAAGTCTTTCATCTCCCTGGACCCTGCAGGAAGTACAAATTCCAGTTGTTGGAAACAGGAAATGTAACTGCTTACATGGAGTTGGACAGATCACAGACAACATGATGTGTGCTGGTTTGTTGGCAGGGGGCAAAGACTCCTGTCAGGTAATGTCTTCCTAATCTCTTCACTGCTTGTATTCTCTCGTATTGCATCTAAAGATATTCATTGTATACACATGGTTATCTATTTGGTCTTGTGCAGGGAGACTCTGGAGGACCACTCGTCAGCAAACAGAACAGTGTGTGGGTCCAGGCAGGCATTGTGAGCTTTGGTGAAGGCTGTGCTCAGCCAAATTATCCTGGAGTGTATACTAGAGTGTCTCAGTACCAAGATTGGATCAACCAGCACATTACCAGCAACCAGCCAGGCTTTGTCACATTCACTTCTACAGGCGCTGATGGGGACCTGAGTGTGTCCTGTGATGGCCTGCCTGCTGTTGCTACAGCCACCACAACAACTACAACCACCACTGTCCCCACAACTACTGCTTCATGTAAGATTGCTTGCATTTATGTTACATAATTTAATACTAAAACTCATATGGACCATCTCTGTTGGTCCATTGATCATGAAAACTGAAAATCGCAAAAAATGGAAATCCTTTTTTTGGAGAGTGACAGTATACAAAATCATGATTTATAGAGTACTTTCTACAGGGAGGTGGCTGTCCCAAACCCTAACCCCTACATTTCAACTTGTGAAAATAGTACTTACATTTTTTCTCAAATTTTCTTTTATCTTTTTGATTTGTTTTTGATTTGTTTGACATCATAATGAGTTTAATTTTTTTAATTAAAAAACCTTACTTAAAAAAGCAAAGCTGTCCCACATTTTCATGTCGCTACTGAAACACAAGAGCTGTGTTCTAAATATTCTACTACATATTACTCGTATACTGATTATGCCCAAAAGTAGAAAGCGATATGCAGTATTTGACCAACATGTATTTCCTCAGTACGCCAAACATACCTGGCTGACGTATTAATCTGGACACTTATTCCAGTACACAGCCAGAGCTGTTGATATACTGCATCCCAAAATGTAATGCTGCCATTTCAGGAGGACGCAACCACTGATATAACTACCTAGATATTTGCAATAGCCCTTGATTCAGACTTTCTATACATTGATAATAGCAAAAGGAAAGACATTTGTCCGGATACTGCAGCACTCAGTGCAACGCTGAAGCCATCAGTTTTCTCTGGCGGTTTTGAGGTTGATTTGCTTGTTTTGTCTAATTAAAGTTAACAAGCTTACTGCATATATAACATGGCAAAAACAGTAACTTAATAATGTTGGTCTCAGCCGAACAATCCGCTCAGCATCCGCTATTCATTCTACTCATTCGAGCTCCTGAACGAAGTCACACTACTTATTATTTAGTCAGACTAGCTCATATTACCCACAGCTGGTGTAATGACAATGACCATGTTACCCCTAACGCTGGTGATAGACTGTTTAAGCTAGTGCACAATATTTAAACAAATCCCAAAATATATCTTTGTCTTTTGCTCTTTTATTTGTTGATATTCTTTGTTGCTATGCATACTCCCTTCACTCATTTGTTCTGCATGTCTTTCAATATCTCCTTCCATGTTTTTATCAGTGTACATCCATCATCATCTGCTTATCCAGCCTCTTTATCAACTACAGTCATGTCTTCTAGCAGTGACTCTGGAACCCCAACTGTCACTACAACCATCCCTTCTACCACTCCAACCACAGCTGTCCCCACGACCACAACTACCACTACAGCAACTTCTACCACTACAATCACAGCTGTCCCCACGACCACCACTACAACCACAGCTGTCCCCATGACCACAAATACCACTACAACCACCACTGTCACCACAACTACTGCTTCACGTAAGATTATCCATATTTTCTCTCTAGTGTGCCCGGAGAAGCCTTCTAGAACTTCATTGGCAGGCAAAGGGTAAAGTTCAAGACTCTTGAGGCCAGGCGTGATCTCTTAATGACACATCTGGAGACAAACTCTAAAAACCACCCCAAGTTCTTCTAGTCAATGCTCTTTTAACAGCCAGTGTACAATCAGTAACACAAGCAAACTCAGCGAGCTAGCAAAACACTATCATTAGCTAACTGTTCTTCCTGTGCAAAAAATATTGTTTATTTTTACCACAGGTAATGTGTTCTCTTCACACTCATCACATGGCTACGTGTTTAATTGGAGTGGGGGATTTTTCAGCCATGCTTACTTTACATCCATGGGCTAACGACAGGCCTGTTATCGGTTGGACAGTTTTGACCGTTGCCCTCTACTTTAGGCACCACCTTAATAAGACGTTGGACTGGTTTAGAAACTTGACACTCCATTTGTTTCCACCTTAATACGTGTACACTCCCATAATTTCCCCTGGTTGTCACTAAAGATTCTTTACAAGATCACAAGGCCTTGTTTAGACAGACAGCTCAAATCAGATTTTTCAGCATATCCAGGCAAAATTTTCTGCAGACCAAATGGCAAAAAAGCCACACTAAATCTGACTTTTTCCAATCAGATTCAAGCCACATTTGTAGGTGGTTTTGAATCGGATTCAAATCTGATTTACAGATATGTGACTCAGTTTGACGGGTCAGGTCTGATTTCATGTGTTTTGTTCAGGGGTGGTTCATAATGTCAGAACGTGTGACATGAAAGTCAGTGGTGCATGTTCACATATTATAGCTTAAACATGGAGAACAGAAGCTTTTAAAAGTCTTTTAGGTAACATTTCCTACTTTGTATTAAAGCCTGTCTCAACCAATGTGGATATGTGAGCAAATGCAACTACAGTCTGACCATACAAATCAGATTTGGTCAGTTGTATCCTGAGGTTTAAAGAGTTGGTCAAAAAAGTCAGATACAGTAATCAAACCCGATTTGCTTTTCTGTGTGAACAAAGCCCAAGACTAGTCTCAATGCTGAGAATTTTTTGTTCATTTCCTCTCTTGCTCCAGCTGTGGTGTGTGGCAGTGCCAAGCTAAATGCCGTTACAGGAGGGGGAAACTCCTTGGCATCTGCAGGTGTGTGGCCATGGATGGCCAGCCTGCAACGTAGTGGTACTTATGCCTGTGGAGGAACACTGGTAGCTGAGCAGTTTGTCTTGAGCTCCGCTGATTGCTTCTCTAGGTAAAGCCACAGCAACATGATATATACAAATTGAGTCAGTTAGGTCAAAACCAAATCAACACACATTAGTGCTAGTTGTCAGACTTGATGTTCTGTATCTCACAGCTCCACCAATGCTTCTGACTGGACAGTAATTCTGGGCCGCCTCAAACAGAACGGCTCCAATGCCAACGAGGTTTCTGTCAACGTGATTAAAATCTCACTGAGCACTGGTACAGCGAACAACGTAGCAGTACTGCAATTGTCTCGCAAGCCAACACTTACAGACTATATTCAGCCCATATGTGTGGACCTGGGGAGCAACAGTTTCCCTATCAACACTCAGTGCTGGGCGTCTGGCTGGGGTTCAGGAGGTGGAGGTATGTTATTTGTGTGTGAAACACTATATGAAATATGTCTCTTTTCAAATCATTCCAATGGATGTCATCAATTTTCTCTCTCATGTTTGTTCTCTTTGTGCTATAGTTGAGCAAACTCTTCAGCAGTTCAACACTACTATACTGGACTGCGGGAGCGCATCCTCATCTAACAGTAGCATCTGCACAGGAGTCATGCCTTTAGAACAGGTCTCTAATTAATCTATTTTTACAGTAGGCATAAAATGGTATAAAAAGTCCACCTGTTTTGGATGAGATCCTCAGTTGAACTATGCACTTTTTTCTTTAATAATGTTCAAAGAATATATATTTTGGTGAATGATTTAAAAACCCAAATTGATTTTTCGTCTTTGCAAGCAAGGCAAAATATAAAAAAAGATTTTTTTATTGTGTTTAAATCCTATTTCTTTACAGTACATGATAGTTTTAAGAACTGAAGAAAGCTGCAGTGTTATTTTTCTCAGCACGCTCGTCTTTGTGGAGAGGTGTGAATAGTTTAAACAGCAGGTGGTTCTCACCCCTCCTCTTTTACCCCTAACTTCTCACTAGCAGCTCAACACAGAGTCACAACAGTGTCCTAGTTCATCTGATAACAGAGTTAAGAAACTCTGTCTCTGAAATAGACTCATAATCTTTCTCTCTCACTCTCAGACTAATATAGGAGGTCCTCTGATGTGTAAGGTTGACCAATCATGGGTCCAGCCTGCAGTTTTGACTCTGGCTACCAAGCTGTCTCGTGCCTCAGATGTTCAGGTCTTCACTAAAACATCAAGCTTCTCAGAATTCCTGCTGACAGTAGTGGGCACCTTCCCTTCCAAAGCCAACACCACATCTACCAACACCACCACCGTCAGTCCAGTCAGCTCCAGTGCAACTGAGTCATCTACATTCTTCTCTGTCATGTCTCTCCTTCTGCTCCTGCTTTCTGCTCTCATTCAAATGTTCAGTTAAGAATGATCGTGTTAGCTCACTAAAGTACTCAGGAAAATAAACTATCAACCCTAACCCAAGGGACGAGTGCAGTACTGTGCAGAAGTCAGAAACCACCCGTAATTTATTTAATTTCTAGTCAAAATAGACTTTAAAAAACCTTTTTCTTCAGTGTCAATTTTAAAAGGCAGAAAAAACTTATTAAACAATATTTTATATATTTTTTTTCAGAGTTTAGTCTGTCCTCCTTTTGCTTTTATTGCAGCATCCATTCTTTTTGGAAGACCTACTTTCAGTTTTTCAAAGAAATCTGCAGGGATATTTTTCCACACCTCCAAAGTTCAGTCTTAGAAGTTAGTTGCCATTTTTGTCCCTCATGATCCAAGTAATCCCAAACACTTTCAGTGATGATATTGTCTGGACTGCATTGTTCTGAGAACATCAGCAGCTTCTGTGTTTGATTTGCACAACAGCTTCTTGACAGCTACACATCCTTTCAGACTCATTGTGTTGTCACAGTGGAAGGATGGACAGAAACACCTGTGGATTTTTTCAGATCTGAAGTAAGAGTGGAGCTTCATTTTCCCCTCCCTCTCAAAGATGAATGCTTTAAGTACTGTTTATCTGATGGTAACAAATTTGGTGGCCTGTTTCTTTATAACCTTTAAATAACTCCTGTTTTTTCAATTATTTTCCTTTGTGTTCCCCCTTCCTTGTGCATGTGGATCATCTTATAACTAATCTCATCAGAAATATCTCCTGAAAAATGTACAACTTGTACTAAATGTCCGGTTTTGACTGGAAAATAAATAAATGAAGGAGGCTCTAAATTGGCACTTGGTCTCTTCTACAGTCCATGCTCTCCAGTGTAACTCACATCATTAGCTAGTTATCATAATCCTTCATGAGCCCTTCATTAAAGATGTATACATGTTAGTTAAATGGTGGAAGTAACATTCATCAGGCTTTCTGCAGATGGTAATTAGGTCTAATGGTGGTAAAGTTTAAGTGAGCTTATCAAAAGAAAAGTGAAGACCCATATTTTGTCCTTGAAGTCTGGTTTTAATGCCAAGCAGATTATTCAGGTTTCATTACTCACTCCACTGTCTAATGTTTCATATGGTGAAACTAAACAAAAATTGCACTCTTAAAAATAAAGATGTCAAAACAGGTTATTTGGAGCAAAGCATTTTTGGTTCCCTAAAGAATTTTCAAATTGATGTATTGTAAAAACATTTAAAAATTTAAAGAACCTCAAACCCACAAAATGTTCTATACCACTTAAAGGGCTTTTCTGGAACTGTGTGTCCAGAGGCATTTATTTATAAAATGGTGGTAATACATTTTAAAGTGATTTTGAAATTAAAACATTTTTACTTTGTTTTCAGGAATACAACACTGCATTTGAGTAAAGATAGGATGTGCTCTTGAAGACATGTTGCTGATATTCTAAGTGGAAATAAGTGAACACATCCTCCACGGAAAACACACTTCTGCACATTTTAATGCACAATTACTATTTATTTGCTGAATTTAATATATTGATCAAAAAAATAAAACATAAAATGTGGTTTTATGGCACATTTTATATTGTGTTTTATTTTTTTCCCCAATATGTTAAACTGCTTTAAAGTTTGTAGAAAAGGGTCATTTTTAAGTGTGTTCTCTGTAGAGAAAAAAATCAATAATACATGAAATTTGACTGGGGGTGTTCATATGTTTGCATAGGAATGTATATTGAATGAAACTGTATACTTTTAACTACACTGACATTTATGCAGTGATATTTCACAGAGCACATATTGCTATGGAAAGTGGCCCAAATATAAAAGAACTGTTTTGAGAACAGTTTGCTGTATTGTTATTTTCTGTATTCCACTACCAGAGGTAGGTAGAACAGTCTAAACAGTCTGAGTTAAACTACTTCAATGAAAAAACGAAAATGTAAAAAATGTAAAATAAAAAATGTAAAATTATCTTTCCATGACATGACTTGAAGTACAAAAACTACTGAAGTACTAAGTGATTTCTAGAACTGCAGTGGAACTATCACTGTAAGGACCACACATAGTTGGTCTCTTTTTGTTGTACTTTTAGTCTAAAATAAAACAATAAATCTTAATAGTCACAGGTGTGACCAATCGAAAAGCAGATGGCAAAATAAATGCAAAAAATAGCAGCTTCCTGATTAAAATGTAAGTGCTCATTATTTCAGTTGCTTTTCCATTCCATTCTAAGTGTACTGAAGGTGGCAGTAGAGTTGTTCTCATGCAAATACTAGGAGGCTTCTGACCTTGGCTGTACTTAGACAGCTAGAAGTATACATGTTAGAGGGACATGCAAAAACATGCAAAAACATGCAAAAAGAGTCAACTCCAGAATTATTGACACCCTTCATGAAAATGAACTAAAATCAGTATATTAAATAAAACACATAAGCAATTAGTGAAATTTGTGTATAAACAAATGCTGCATATTTCTAGTTTTTACACTGTGTTTTGGAACAAACAAAGACAAAAATAACAGGACTGAAATGCTTTCTGTCAACGATTTCTCTAACAAGGTTGGAAGAACACTTCTTGAGGGGTCTTGGACTACTCCTCTATGCAGAACATTTCTACAACCTTTCATTTTTGTCTCATCTCACCCCATCACTCCATTCCATTTATACCTCCAATGACATTTAAAAAAGTTCGGGCACAACCTCTAGTGGCTCGCTTGTAGGAAATGCTTCTTCTGCTTTTTCAAACTTTTTTGTTATTGGCTTGATTGCACTTAATAGTAATTTCAACTAACTACTAATTGTTAAAAAAGTCATAATCTGTGCAGCTCCACAACCTTCTGTCTTATTTGAGTTGACAGCGCTTTTGGTTTTACTCATGTTGATGGATGACAAGGAGATTTTATAGTCATAGACTTCAAATGAGTTCCTGGAGAAAAGGGACAATAAAAAGAAATATTTTTTTGTTCAATGTTGCCAGTTTCTTTTAAAAGTTTTATTTAAAATATTCTTTAGGGGTGCCAATAATTTTGCCCCATATGTTTTTGCAAGAATACACTATTCGTAAAATAAAGCAACAACCTTGATTTCTATTAGACTGATTTTTATTAGACAAATAGATACATGCTAAGTAATTCCTCTAAACGTTTTACAACATTTGAATCATTATGTGTATTTTTTATTTTATTTGATTGACTTATAATCAAATATATCTTAGAATCGAAAACTGTTAAGTCTATCTATGTGATCAAATCACTCCCTTTCCAGTTCTACTGCTTAAATATTACAGAATCACAAACGAGTTCCCAGGTTTCTTAGTGAAACATTGTAGTGTAATAGCATCACAGCTTGCACATGTTCATGATTTATGACTAGCTGCTTCTCAGAGTAAACAGAATTTAAAAAAGAAAAAGAAAATAAAAACATACTCTAAGCCCTTTATGGCAAGAAGACACATTGGCAAGCAGGTCTTACTATCTTCTCTCTGTTAATTAGTTACATTGGCCTGACATAACCAGCTTACTGATCTTTGTTATCTTCTTCTTATTGTAATTTTTATTCTACTCTTTTTTACAGGTCACACCACCTTTGATAACATAGCAATGGTCTAGCAACACCTTAGCAAGCATATGGTATACTGTAGCAATGGCCTAGCAAAACTTTAGCAGCCACCTTGGATAAAATAACAGCAGGTTAGTAATACATTAGCAACCACCTCCAATACCTCAGCAGTGGCTTAGCAACACCATAGCAACCACTTGGGATACCATATCTATGGATTGGCAGCACCCTAGCAACCACTTTGGATACCATAACAACTACTCAGCAACACCTTAGCAACCCCCTGGGATACTACAGCAATGGCCTATCAACACCCTAGGAGCCACTTGGGATAGCATTGACTAACATGTCTGGCGATGCCCCAACCTGACGAAACTTTGGGATGTGTTGAAGTCACACTAATTCATCTGTGTCACTGTGATGTTTCTTATCATGCACTCTATAATGTGTTCTCTCATTCGGCTTATTTTACATTGCCCATGCAGTAGCAGTGCATTGGTTTATAGCACAGCTGCTGGGGTAACAAACTGTTTTCACTGTAGACAGTGCAGGTTTTTTGACTTTTTGCGGTCAGGTCGTCTGGATCAAAGCTGTTAACAGATGATAATTTATCCAAATAACGGTCCCCGGCCTCCCTGCTGAGTTTGTCTCGTTATAGACCACTGTAGTCGTGCGTCATTCCGTAGTCCTCGTTATGCCCATATTAGGAACTACGGGTCTAAGCTCCATTTCTCTATGGCCGGAATGAATACGGTTGTAGAAAAATCGCCTCTATCGCACCCTGTGTTAAACAAACATGTTCGGAACCCGATACGTTTTGTCCTGTGTACATTTTTCTCCTGAATACCACCGGATCCTCCGAATTACGAGGTCGTTAAAGAGCTATAATACTAAAATTGCTACATGCGAGCTAAAGCTACTGCGCTTCAATGTGATGTCACTGAGCTACACGAAACAAGGGCGGGCTGTGGCGATGCTCTGACGAGCTGTGCTACCTTATCAAAATGTTCTACTGTCGCGCTTATTTATCGGTATACCCGTAAATAAAACCTCTGGGTGGAATATTTTGATGGGCTAAAATTCTTTGTCAAAAATACCACCCGTGTTAAAACAACGAGGCTTAATTTAGCTTCTTTTTTCACAGCTTCTTATTTGAATGTTCCTGTTCCACCTTAAATGGTGCAGCAGCTGTGACTAGCTGTCACAAACATTAGCAAATGAGACAAAATGCTGACCTGTCGGTTCTGTGAAACAGCAAAAATAAGTTCATGTTACTCAGCTGTTAAGCGGAAATAAAGAAACCTCCTCATATCATGCCTTTCAACCCTCCATGAAGCTGAAGTCAGCTTCTTTTTCGTCGGCTGCTTATTGGAATTTCCCCGTTCCACCTTAAATGGCGCAGCATTTTAGAACGTGATTGCTGCACCACTTAAGGTGGAACGGAAAAAGTTGAA